ATGTCTGTGTTTTGAAATCAATAGAGCACCTCTACGATGTATAACAAACAGACAAGTGAAAATAGCATATAGCAAGAAAAATACACTACAGTAAATCATTTAATTCAACTAATTCAGTGAGTAATTAATATTCCAAACACCAGTGGATACAAAAAATCAGTTGTACAATATGTACATTATATAAAAGTTATATAAAAATAAAATATGACACTTGACAGAATGTATTTAATCAAACATTTAGAGATGTGTGTAATTAATAAACTGGTGTATTGCAATAAAAAATGTTTTGGCCTAACAATTTGTCTAAAAATATTTATTTTTTTCAGGAAATATGGGATGTTCATTGCACTTTTTTTTTTTTTAAATTCGACTACATTTTGGCTTTGAGTTCTGGAATTTAGACAATTATTCAAATCCCAAATTCTAAAAAAATGCTGTTTGGAGCAAAACAAAGTTTCATATTTAACATAATTTAATTGTAGTTCTCATGTTTTAATAGTACTATACAATTCAAAATCCTTGTAAAATTTGAGGATTTCCACATTATAAATAAATATATAAATTTCCCACAAATGGAAGTAATAATATAAGCAACAATAAATGTATATTTATACTTTAAACTACAAACCTGAAAGCAGGGAGACAGTAATGTGCATGAAAGTTCAGTATTAGTGTGGTCCAGCGGAATGTATTTTTGAGTCCAGCATTTGTTAATGCACAGAATGCTCTGTTGCAATGTGACATGTTGGCTGTAACATACTGATGTGTTGTGGACATCAAAGCATTGGTTTGGCAGGATTCCATACCTAATATGCAGTTTTCCAATTACTGAAACTTTTTCATTTGTGTCTACCAATAATTACTTTACACTTCAAGAACACTATTCAATGTGAACTAAAAGTTTTTTGGGTCCCCAATTTAAATAAATGTGAATGCCCCAAAAATGATCTCTTCGCTGTCACATCATGTTACATGTTACATCACAGCGAGGAATTTAATCTGTACCAGTATAATAACAATTTGCATGGGGTAATGTTTTCCATGACATTGCTTTTCTTACTATGACTTTCTAAAGTAATCCAATACTTTACTGTACATTGTAGTTACAATATGTGGATCTCTTTCTCCATTCCAACCCCTAATTGCATGTGTCTCGTCTTCCTTTTCCACTCCCGAGTCTCTCTCTTTCTATAGCCCCCTAATAGCCATACCATGGGGTGATGTTTGCCATGTGTAGCGGTACTTACCTTATTCGGGGGCCGGCTGAGGTCCTCTATTCCCGCCGCGCGCAGCTCGCTCAGGGTTCAGATGACGGCGGGCACTGACCGCGAGATGCAGTCACGTGTCCCGCCTAGCTCTAAGAGCGCATCGCATGTCTCGAGCACGCTCTTAAAGGGACAGTGGGAGCCGAAAACTAAAACAGTCTCCCATTGGCCCCTGTCATCCCACATTCCCCATACACTCACATTTAGGGGGCGTGGATATGACAGGAGCCAATCAAATTAAATGCTAGGGTATTTATACTTACCTCTCCCTTAACTCCCTGCCCTATCGTGGTTTCTGTTTCAGTTCCCTTTAGCGCTTGTTGTGTTCAGTTGTGATTTTTTCGTACTTGACCTTGGCTTTGTATCTGACTCCGTTTATCTCTTTATCCCTGTTTTGTCTTGTTTGCCGGCTTACTGATTACTGTGTACCAGACCTTGGCTAGTTCTTGTTTTCGCTGTTACTTTGTACCCTTGACCTCGGCTTGTTCCTGACTCTGTCTTTCTCTGCTCTACGTCGAGTCCGGCCATTCTAAGGTCCGGTAAGACGTATCTGCTCTATATTGTCAATTGTTGGACTAAATCTTGCGTGTTGGGGTATACTACCGTGACACCATGACATTGCTTTTCTTACTATGACTTTCTAAAGTAATTCAGTAATTTACTGTACATTGTAGTTACAATATGTGTTTCTCTTTCTCCATTCCAACCCCTACTTGCATGTGTCTCGTCTTCCCTTTCCACTCCTGAGTCTCTGTCTTTCTATAGCCCCCTAATAGCCATACCACAGCTCCTGTGTTATGTCCTCCGGGACTCAGCATTCTTCCCCTTCATTGTTCTGTGCTCAATTGGTAGTGATGTCGCGAACCGTTTGCGAACTTGCCACGAACGGCAAGCTTCAACATGGATGCTGTCCAGGAGGTGGGAGGGTCTGGGAGGGAGGGTCTGCTGGAGATTGGCAGGGATGTGTCAGCTGACCGGAGTTCGCCGCGAACCGCGGCGAACCGTTCCCGGCAAGTTCGCGACATCACTATCAATTGGTAATAGCCCACCTTTCTATTGGTCAGGAGGACATGTCCTCCTCTGTGGTGGTCTATTCAATGCTCCTCAAAGAGGATCATTGGGGACTTCATGCGCATGTGTGATGTGCGCCGCATGTTCATTCAAGCTTCACCATTGGTATACATTGTATTCAATACTTTCCTATAAACTTCCACATCACATGATCACGTTTTACACAATAAAGCAGAAGCACCTGTAGTGGGTATCAGTATGACAGCCAATGGAGGTGTACTTAACCCCACAATGTTTTACATTGCAGGGTTAAAAGGACAGAGCCTCCTGTAATTGATAACAGATGACATCCACACAAACTAAATTATTCCCTCTCATAAAACCTTGTCACATCACAACTAAATAGTCCCATCTTTCAAGCTCAGAAGACAAGAATTGCATACCAAAAATCGACTTTAGTAAATGTATACGAAAATTTAATTTATCAGTGTGTCCTGACGCAGATGAGCATGACAGATTATATAATTCAAGGACACAGAAAACCCTAATCAACGGAATCCTTCCCCCCTATAGAATTTAAATGGCGATGTCCAACTCTGACATGCACTGTATTTTTGAAAATTTAGGGGGTTTTTTTGGTTTAATTCTTGGTTTTCTCAATCCTCTAACTTGCCATTATATTACATAGTTACATAGTTACATAGTTACATAGCTGAAAAGAGACTTGCATCCATCAAGTTCAGCCTACCTCACATTTGTTTTTTGCTGTTGATCCAAAAGAAGGCAAAAAAACCCAGTTTGAAGCACAATTTTGCAACAAGCTAGGAAAAAAAATCCTTCTTCACCCCAGAATGGCAGTCAGATTTATCCTTGGATCAAGCACCCTACATTGAAAGAATATATCCTTGAATATTCTGTTTTTGCAAGTATGCATCTAGTAGCCGTTTGAACATCTGTACGGACTCTGATAAAACCACTTCTTCAAGCAGAGAATTCCACATCCTGATTGTTCTTACGGTAAAAAAAACCTTTCCTTTGCCTTAGATGAAATCTTCTTTCTTCCAGTCTAAACGCATGGCCTTGTGTCCTATGTATAGTCCGGTTTGTGAATAGATTTCCACACAATGGATTGTATTGGCCCCGAATATATTTGTATAATGTTATCATATCCCTTCTCAGGCGACGTTTTTCTAAACTAAATAGGTTTAAATTTGTTAACCTTTCTTCATAGCTGATATGTTCCATTCCTTTTGTTAATTTTGTAGCCCACCTCTGCACTTTTTCTAGTGCCATAATATCCTTCTTTAGAACAGGTGCCCAAAATTGCACAGCATATTCAATATGGGGTCTTACCAGTGATTTATAAAGAGGCAAAATTATATTCTCGTCCCGAGAATGAATGCCCTTTTTCATGCATGACAATACCTTACTGGCCTTGGCCACTGCTGATTGACATTGCACATTGTTGCATAGTTTGTTGTCTATAACAATTCCCAAGTCCTTTTCGTGTGTTGTTATCCCTAATTCGCTTCCATTAAGGGTATACGTTGCTTGTGTATTCTTTACGCTGAAGTGCATAACTTTGCATTTTTCAACATTAAATTTCATCTGCCATTTGAGTGCCCAGTCCCCCAGTCTATCTAAATCCCTCTGCAGCAAAGTAATATCTTGCTCACATTGTATTATTTTACAAAGTTTTGTGTCATCTGCAAACACTGAAACATGACTTTCAATGCTGTCTTCAAGATCATTTATAAACATGTTAAATAGAAGGGGTCCCAGAACAGACCCCTGAGGGACACCACTTTTAATATTTTATTTTTTTTACAATTCAGTTATCTGGAAACTTTTCCACTAAAATAACATCCACTGGGGCACATTAATCAGTATTTTAGATCCAAATGAGTAACAGGAACCCTTACAACAGGGGCGTCAAGTTAGGTCCTCTGGGGCCACAATCCTGCCAGAGGTATAGGATTTTTCTAATTAACATGTAATCAAAACAATTAACACCATGCATAACTCAGCAATGTGCAAGGTGATATTCTGAAATCCCGGTGTGTTTATGGCCTTTCGGGACTGGAGTTTAATATCCCTGTCTTACAGTCTGTTTCCTGTAAACCTGTGATAACGAGCTAGCTTCAGGGTGGCCAAAAGATACAACCCCACCTGTTGTAGACCTACAACCCCCAATTATGCTTTACATAAGGCTTGTAGAGCATAATAGGAGTTGTAGTTATTATACAACAACTGCAGGTCTACCTATTGGTCATTCATTATGTAGCTGTATTGATACTTGTTAATAGATACTACTTGAAATCTGCTGTAGTAAACTGTATGATCAGTCATAATAATGAAATTAAATGTGTTACGCATAACCAGCTTTTGTGGACAATTGTGACCATAATACATAAAGGGTAACTGAGCATAGCGCAGCCATAATCCTTAGTAGCTGGGTTACTAATACTTTGTTGTCATCTTTTTAAGCAATCAGAAGGAAAAAAAAGTGACAAAAAAGTTATTTTTATAATGACGAGGATGACATTGGGCCCTCATTATTAATTATTATTTACATCAGGCACTGATTATGATTTATGGTACACTGGGGCCCTGATTAATTTTCTATGGCATTTTGGGGCATTGATTATTGGGCATAGCAAATTTTGCTATGGGGCCCTCTGATTTCTAATTACGTCCCTGTTTTGGACCGCCGGTAGGCCAACCATGGATAAAGGCAAGAAAATAAAAATTTCTGAAGAAAACAGAGTGTTTAATGATACATGGACAGAATCATTTGCATTCTCTACTGACAAGACTGGTTTACCAGTATGCTTAATATGTGGTGAGAAATTTGCAAACAACAAAAAGTCGAATATTGCAAGACATTTCCAGAATAAACACACAGCCTTTGCTGAAAAATATCCAGATGGAGATGAGAGACGAAAAGCCGTTGCAGAACTTATGAGGAAGGTTGATAGGAGCAAAAATAATTTCAAGAAGTGGGTGAAGTCTGCAAATTCCACAACATATGCTAGTTTTGTAGCCGCTCAGGAAATAGTCAAGCACGGGAAGCCATTCACGGATGGAGAGTATATAAATGAAGCATTCATTAAGATTTCGGAACATCTATACATGGACTTCAAAAACAAGAATGAAATTGTGCAGAAAATCAAAGACATGCCTCTCTCTGCGAAGACTGTTAAAGACAGAACCCTAAAAATGGCAGAAAACATTAGCAAACAGCAAATTCAAGACATTAATTCAGCTGTGGCGTACTCCATCGCCTGTGATGAGTCCAAAGATAAAGGTGATATTGAACAAATAGCGCTGTTCTGCCGATATGTGAACTCTTTTGGGCCACAGGAAGAACTGATTGAGCTGATACCACTAGAAGACCAAACAAGGGGTGAGGATATCTGTAAGGCTGTCCTGGACTTTTTAAGTGCTAAAGAAATAAACACCAACCACCTGGTCTCAGTGGCTACTGATGGGGCACCGAGCATGAGAGGAGCACAGAAGGGCTTTGTGGCTCTACTACAGAAGGCGCTGGGTAGAACGCTGCTGTCATTTCATTGCATCCTGCACCAAGAGGCATTGTGTGCTCAAACATTTCCCCCCGAATGCACAAAAGTGATGGATGTGGTCATTCAGATTGTTAATAAGATAATGGCAAAGGGTTTAAATCACCGCCAGTTTCGTTTGCTATTGGATGAGGTGGAAAGCACATATTCTGACCTCCTGCTCCACAACAAGGTCCGGTGGCTGTCCAGAGACGAGGTGCTAAAACGCTTTGTCACATATTTGGAAGAAGTAAAAACCTTCCTGGCCTGCAAAGAGCTCACCTTTGCTGAGCTGGAACAGTCAGAGTGGCTGGAAAAATTACATTTTATGGTAGACATGACAGCCCATCTAAACATGCTAAATACAACCCTTCAGGGGAAAGGAGGCACTGCCCTGCACATGCTGGAGGAGGTTTTGGCATTCGAGCGCAAGTTGACAGTGTTTGTCAAAGATTTCCAGAGAGGTACACTGTCTCACTTTCCCTCTTTGAGAGAGTTCAAACAAAGTCATGATACGATAAATTTGGAATATTTCAAGTCTGCAATCACCGCAATGCAAAGCTCGTTTGGGAAACGATTCTGTGAGTTCAGAGAGGAAAAAAAACACATTATCCTTCCCTGTCACTCCCCTGGCGATCGATCCATCCCTATTGAATATGACTGCATTTGCAGGTGTAAGTCAACCTGATCTTGAGATGGAACTGGCCGATATAGCCGACAAAGATATATGGGTGTCCAAGTTCAAATACTTGACCGCTACTCTTGAGGATGTTGCCTGTCAGAAGGCCATTCTAGCTCAGAATCATAAATGGAGTGATATTGAAAACCTTCCCAAACAGGACAAACTTGTATTCGAAACATGGAATGCCATCCCCAACACTTATATAAACATGAAAAAGTATGCATTTGGAGTCCTGTCGATCTTCGGTTCCACATATGTATGTGAGCAGGTCTTCTCCAACATGAACTATATTAAAAACAAACATCGATCACGCCTCACAGATGACAGCTTGCAAGCCTGTGTGAAAATGAAGGTGACGTCTTACAGCCCTGATGTGCAGACACTGAGCACTGAGGTTCAGGAGCAAAAGTCCCATTAACCAGGTAAATTAAATATTTTAATTAGCTATTAATTAGCAAAAATATATTTTACATTGTTAAGTGAAAGTCCTTTTTTTCTTCAGATTGACAGCTGACTGCACGATCCTGTATATAAAGCATTAAGGTAAGAAACAATATATGCAGTGTTATATTTGTTTTAAATGTCGCAATGGTTTTGCGGCTCCCAGTTTGTTTTTTTCTTCGGAAACGGGTCCAAGTGGCTCTTTTTGTCTTAAAGGTTGCAGACCCCTGATCTAGACCGATTTCCTTGAGTTTGAACACTAATTTATTGTGTGGAACTGTATCAAATGCCTTGGCAAAATCCAAATAGATCACATCCACGGCAACACCCTGATCTATACTTCTACTTACTTCTTCGTAGAACGCAATCAAGTTAGTTTGACATGACCTGTGCTTCATAAAACCGTGCTGATTTTTGCTGATAACTATGTTCTTCTCAATGAATTCTTGAATATTATCCCTTAATATCCTTTCAAATATTTTACCAGCCACAGAAGTTAAGCTCACAGGTCTACAATTACCAGGCAAGGATTTTGATCCCTTTTTGAATATAGGAACCACATCTTGAGTCATATAGCATCATATTTCATCTTATATAGCATTGTTCAATGCATAATATCCTGGAAAAACTTGTAAATAAAAAAAAAATATATATATATATATATATATTTTTTTTTTTTTTAAAGGACAGAGCCTCTGCACCCAGACCACTTCATTATCAGTTTTGGGTGTTGTATTCAGTGGTTGCCCCACCTTTGTCAAATTAATTAGTGAATTCTAATGAATTTAAGTCTTGTTCTATTTTTTCTTTTATTTCCTTAGAATATTCAATTATTAAATTAATTCATTGAATTGAACAATTGAGTAGGATTTCATTTTCCAAGCCATATGCTGGCATCTTGTCAACTCTTAATCCCCTTGGAATCAAACCTTCCTTTATATATTTTGGAGGAATGAAATTTCCCACCACTTCTTTGTCTCATTAGATAAAAAAAATGTATTTTGCTTTAAAATATTCATCCAAACCTTGTAACTGTTGGGGTTTTTCCCAATCTTGAAATAATGCATCAAATTTTTGTTTATGTGCCGTATGTATGTTTGTTAAATGATTATGGCCACTAGCCATTATAGCACAATTTAACACAACTACAATTTGTTTAAATACAATCCACAAGGCTAAATATACAGGGAACTACTTTGTTTCCAATAGAGCGGAAAGCAAACCAATTTGTGGTGTTTTCTATTTGGGACATTAGGAACAAGCTACATTGAGAATTTGGAACGCATGAAGATCGGGACTGGAACACCAGCCGGAAGACAGAGGAATACAAAAATATACAGTGCCGATTGAATCATCAGAAACAGCTGACGAGAGGGGGATTGAAGGAGAGCAATTGGCAGGGGAAATGAAAACTCCCCCAACACACACTGGAGGAACAATCCTATTTAAAGGAATGGGAATAGGGAGTGGGTAGGACAACTTATTGTTACGGAGAATGTTTTTATTTCTGTAACTGTGCATGTTTTGGTCCCTAAGGAAGTTTCTATGAAATTAAAAACATAGGATTGTATTGCTTTTATGTTTTATATACTTTTAATATATTTTGAAGTCAATAAATCCATTTACACCTACCGACCTGGTTCCTGATTGCTATCCGGAGTGCGAACAGCATACAGAGGATCCTGACCTTAAGGCGCTTTGATACTTAGAGTCTGTGAGTTCCATAATAAGTGGGGGCATTGCTCTTCACTAAAACAGTGTTGCACTATTATGAGTAAATGAGTATCTATCACTCAAAAAACCAAATACAAATAATACAATAAATGTATAACTGTTATTACTAAGTGCATTAACCCCTTAATGACACATTTTTGCTATGTGCGTGTTCAGTCGCATTTCCATGTCTCACTGCTCAATTTCCTGCCATTTAGGAGTTAAATCACTTTTAATTCTGTTTATGCAGCCCTAGCCACACCTCCACTGACTGTGACTCACACAGCCTGCATGGGAAAAAAAAGGTCCTTTTCAGTCAGATGTTAACTTGCTTAGAAGTTTTTTTTTTCTCCTGCTCTGTAAATTGAACTCTAATCACACACAGGAGGCTTCTGCAGGCTGTAGCAGATTATTAGCAGAAAAGAAAATACGAAATTCTAATTTTATATAATGAAATTATATAATTTAAATCAGAACAAATAAGTCCCATCTTCATCCCTTGCTGGAATGATCTCAGATGTTAAAAAATAAAATGTATGTTATCTAAATGGAACACACAGCCTTGATGTTAAATAAAATAAAACAGATATTTTAACAAGGCCTCTTCTAAGTTGCAACCTATACCAATCTAGAATTGAGAATTTGATAAATGTTAATGGAGTAAAAATCACACAGCCCATTAAAATTTGCAATACATTTGCTGAATACTATAAGAAACTGTACAATTTGGTTTTGGACCCTAGCATGATACAACCCACATTTGAAAATACATGCTCATACTTGGATAAAATCCCTTTGAAACTGATTTTGACTGACAATTTGTATACACTAAATTCTCCCATTTCCAAAAAAGAAGTAATAGATGCTAAACATATACCAACTAGTAATAACCTTAATTAATAATGATACAAAAAATGTATTCCAAAATATTGGCTAATTGTTACAATTTCTCTCGTTTTCAGTTGGCAACAACCAGGTGGGTTTTGTTTTAAATGGTCAGGCTTTGGATAGCACAAGGTGTTATATCAATTTGATCCATCAAATAAAATTAAATCACATGCCTTCTCGGCTCCTATCTTTGGATGCGGACAAGGTATTCTATAGGATTCATTGGGGCTTTTTATTTTTGGATGACAGACACGTATCATGGCAGGTACAATGAGGCTTATGCAGAAGCCAAAAACTTATTATGCGGCACATCAGTGCTTATAAGGTACTTTCATATGTGTAAGCATGACATTGTATATCAGTTTAGTGTCTCGGTGCCATCCGTCAATTTTTACTAACACGTTTTACTTGAGAATGAAAACATTAAAATTCAACTGAGACATAACTTTCTGTGTCTTTTTACCAACTTGCTTCTAGCCCTGGTCAGCGTCCATACGCCCGTAACTTTCTCGCCGTCCCTTCCACGCCCAGACGGTCCACGAGGGCATCCTGGCCAGGGCTCCTTTATGGGCGGGTAGCCATGACCTCAACTGATTTTCCCCTCTGTAGGCCCCTGAGCCTGAGGAGCGGGCGTGCCCTATCTGTCCCCCTTCATCTCCCCTTCTGTTTGGATGTATTCCCTTGGTACCAGGCGCTGTTTCAAAGGTGTGCTAAGTCAGGCAACCTGATGTTATTGGTAAAACAAACAAACTAGTTCTTTAGGTGCTATGTCCCACCACCTAAACACAAAAGTGCTAGTGTAGTGCTATGCAAATTGTTACTTACCCCTTCAAATTATGTGGGGTAAAATTACATGTAATACAAATGTAAGATATATGAAACAGTCCAATATGATTTATAAATATACTGTGAAAGTGAATAAATGTATGGTCACACTCACAACTTTTAGAGCCATTTTGAGGGGTATAGGTTCTAAACACTGGCCTTTTAAGGTGGCTCTTTGACCTTCTCCTATATCGATTTTCTTTCACAGGTATATATGAAAATAGAAGAAATACAGCAATTTAGGTGCAGATTGTTTGAACTCAATAGGTAGAAATAATCACATATTTCATAGCAGTAAATTTGCTCACCTTTTTAGGAGCCTTTTACTATAACTGACTCCCAACTGTGTGTGTAGTGTCAAATTGTAGGTTACATTTCCCTGTGGGAACCTGGGATTCCGGTATGGTGGAATGAAGATGAAGAGTAGGACTTGTAAAGGAATTTTATTCCAAAATTAAAAGGGTTTAAAACAGAGCATAAAAACTAACACTCAAAATAAAAACAATAAATAATAATGTCATTTCTTTCAGAAATTATCCAAGACGCGTTTCGCCGTGCGGGCTTTTTCAATTGGTATGCATTCAGTTGTTCCCGGTTTTGTTTTTGAATGCTGGGTAGCTCCTCCTTTGTCTTATGTTCTTCCTATTATTAGAGGGTTCGTCACTTGTGGCGCATTCGTTAGGCTGTTGCGTATTCCATTCCAAAACCCGGAAGTAACGTATAATCGTATTTCGCCCTAAATGACTACATTACCCATATAGCTCCAGGCAGGGTGTCTTGATACTTCATATCCTGTTACAGGGATATCGCAATGAAAAGTCTCTCAGTTCATATAATATTCTCGGAGACACGTAGACACATCTCATGAAAATGAGGACATTATAATAAAAGCACATATTGAAAATATTACATGAGACCTCTCTAAGTATAACAAAGTTACATTTTTTGACCAAGATGATATTGAAGTTATGGAAGAATGGTCAAACATGTTAGAATTCTTCGCGTTTACCACCATGAACAAGATTATTAAAAGGAGGAAATTAACTTTAGAAAAATTAGACATAGAGATAAACAAACAGAATTCTCTATGAAATAATACTAAATCAGAAGAATATAAATCTATAACAAATGATATTCAATTACAATTGAACAAAGTTGAAAAAGACACAATAGAGTTTAAAAAGAAAAAATACAAAAGAGACGGGTATGACTATGATAATAACCAAATTAGAACATACCATAAAAACTAACTATTCCTACTCAGACAAAATCCAACAGTCAAAGACTCCCCATACAACTCCCCCAACAAGATATATATTAAAAAAACTGAGCAATAAGTCATTACAGGGAGAATTATTATAGAGATGATATTTATAAAAACAAAAGGGAACCTCTCCAAAAAAGGGAACCTCTCCATAAAAACTCTCCAACCTTCAAACGAACCCCAAACACTTTTTCACCCGATTAGGAGAGAAGAAAGAAATGTCCCACAGGGAAGAGAAAATTCCCAAAGAACAGAAGAACATTATATACACAAAAATAGGTTTGAAGCACTCTTAGTACGGCCAAAATAGTTTTTTTCAGGAAACATCAAAAAGAGAGAAATACAAAGAAATGCTTCACCCACACAAGTTAATACAAGAAAGATCAACACACACAAGGTCACCAGGAAAAAGACCAAGGAGTCTAGAAAAAGAGGAAATAGGGGAGGCCTCAGGATTAAGAAGAGAAAACCATATAGATCAACCCCTTGAAAAGATAGAACACAAAGTTTTAAATAAACGTTTGAAATTATTACCAAGAGGATTGATAAACAAATTCGATTTTTTTATAGATATAAATAAATTTAAGCGACAATTATATCTTAAGAAATTTTTCCTTAAGAGTGACAGATACATTTTTGATCATCAACCATCATTATCAGAATATGTACAGACAGACTTAAAAAATAAATCAAATTTCTACCCCAACAATCTCACCTCAGATGAGATTATTGCATTTGAGAAATCATTAATGCAAGAAATAAATAAAATTTAGACAAATAACCCCAAACAAATGAATTTAAATAAGGAAGAATGACTAGTTCTTAAAAAATTTCAAGAAGACGAAGAAAGAATAATAAAACCGGCAGATAAGGGATAGTAGTCATGAGGGCAAAAATTTGGAAGAAGATATAAAAACCTATATTAATTTACCAAGAGACCCTACAAAAGAAATGGCTACAAAATGTAAAGAATTAATTGAAACTGGAAAAGAAAAAGGGATTTTAAATAATCATGAATATAATTACTTAAAACCCTAAGATACCAGTTTTTATCATCTGCCAAATTTACATAAAGATCAAAAAAATCCACCTGGGAGACCGATAGTCTCTGGAATAGACTCAATTTCCAGCAGACTATCAGAATACATTGACAAATGTCTCCAACCTAGAAACATAGAAACATAGAATGTGACGGCAGATAAGAACCATTGGGCCCATCTAGTCTGCCCAATTTTCTAAATACTTTCATTAGTCCCTAGCCTTATCTTATAGTTAGTATAGCCTTATGCCTATCCCACGCATGATTAAACTCCTTTACTGTGTTAACCTCTACCACTTCAGCTGGAAGGCTATTCCATGCATCCACTACCCTCTCAGTAAAGTAATACTTCCTGCTATTATTTTTAAACCTTTGTCCCTCTAATTTAACCTATTGTACAAACAACTGCTAGCCATATAAAGGATACAGTCAATATTTGACAAATTCTTGACGAAATTAAATGGGAACCAAATTATTTTTTTAGTGACTTTAGATGTGAGTTCCCTATATACAATAATTAATCATCAGAAAGGATGTGAAGCCACTGAATTTTTCTTAATGAAATCGAAAAAATTCCCTAAAGACCAAATAGATTTTATTATGCAGGGAATAGAATTGATACTGAAGAATAATTATTTTTGGTTTCAGGAAGAATTTTATCTCCAGATCTGCGGTACGGCTATGGGGACCAGATTTGCACCCAGCTATGCAAATCTTTTTATGACATACTGGGAAAATTATTTTATTTACCACAACAATGACTAGAGTGCAAATCTGGTCTCATATCACAGGTATATCGATTATATCTTTTTTATTTGGAAGGGTACTAAGGAAGATGTAAACTCTTTTTAGAGCATCTAAGTAATAATGATTGGGGCATATTTTTAATGAGTGTTTTTAGTGACTTAGAAGTCAGATTTTTAGATATTAAAATTTTGATTTTGTCTCTAATTAATAGTTTTAAACGTATCTTTTCTCTGATACACATATATGTATCTATGTGTCTCCGAGAATATTATATGAACTGAGAGACTTTTCATTGCGATATCCATGTAACCAGATATGAAGTATCATGACACCCTGCCTGGAGCTAAATGGGTAATGTAGTCATCTAGGATGAAATACGATTATACGTTACTTCTGGGTTTTGGAATGAAATACGCAATTTGTAGATGACATTATTATTATTGCCATTTATATAGCGCCAACAGATTCCGTAGCGCTTTGCAATATTATGCTTTCTTTAACAAATCCTCTCTCCTTAATTACACTGCTAATGTCTATCTTGTGAGAATTTGGTGATCGAATACGGTTAGTCAACTAGGTAGTGTGCTAAATGTCAGAATAGCTGATCGCCCACTTACAGTGTTCTCAATGCATTTAAATGGCATCACTCACGTTGAGTGCTCAGATTGGATTAATACCAGAGTCTCCTGGATGTGAGCTGGGTTTTAACCCTGGTCACAATGTATTGCTGTCAATGGGGATTTAAATCCCCATTTTAGAGAGCTGCATGCCATGCTTACTTTGAGTATTGCATGTAGCCCATCTGTCAGTCTTGGACCATTAAAAGTGGCTGACAGAGGGGAGCCCCAGGTATCAATTGGATTTAACCCTGCTTTTATCAAGTTGTACCATCATTGAATTTAAATCCCCATTTAAAGAGCTGATCGCAGCACTAACTTTGAACACTATATACAACTCATCTGTCTGCTTGTAAAATACTGCATTTTTTGGTTATAATATATGAAATAAGAATACTAAATGGTTTAGATGGTACAGGGTAGTAGAATGCCCTTTAGCAAATAAATAAAATGGGCTGGCAATTTGAAACATTATCCAGATTAAGGGAATTTCTTCCCACATATGGACTTATATTTATTTGTACATTTTATTTTCATTGTAAAATATAGTAAATTCTATTACAGTATTTAATAGATTATAATTGAGATACACAGGTCTTTGTACATTATATTGCTGATTTATGTATTCATTTATTTATTTTATTTACTTACTGTGTTTATTTTTTTTCCCCTCTCTCTTTCTTTGTTTCTTTCGATCTGTGAGATATGGTAAAACATATGTACTGGAATAAAAATTTATTAAACAAAAAAAAAAATACTGCATGATGGAATCATTCTGTCATAGGTCCATAGAAGAAGACATCCATTATGGAATTATTCCTTCATGTATTGTTAAGGGCTTTAGATTTATTTACAATTCTTGTAGTGATAGGTAGATAATTATATTTTCATTTCAGATTTGAAGTGTGTTTAATATAATACAATTATGATATACATTAGATGCAAAACTAAAGTTAACATAAAATAAATATTTTTAGTTTCAACAATTTATATCCAAAGGTCAAGAAACTGGCACACATAAAACAGAACAGCCAGCAGACATTAAACACACTGCCCAATCTGAAAATCAATGCAATTAATCTTCACATTTTTTTTGTTTTTTTCATATATAACCACATAAAAGTTAACAAAGAAATAAAAGAAATGAAACAAAGAGAAAATCAAATTAAAAGAAAACTATTGATCAAAATATCTGTATAATAAAGATCTTGTTGCACAATGTGGTCTCCGGTAACTCATTATGACTGAGGTCATCCTATTGCAGTGATTTAATCAAATAAAATTGGATTGGGTGGGCGTGGCCGACCAAGAGCCTGAATAAACGTGCTTTGGTGGAACTCTGCTTCAACCCAGTGACTTTACCATAAATATACTGGCCTATTCCACCAGAGAAGATACTCCACAACTTTAACCCCTGAGAGACAACATGGGGCGCAAACACCGCAAATTTCAAGTGCCAGAGGCCCCTAAACAAAGAGATATCAGGCTCTCGTTTGAGCGGCCAATGCCGCCAGCGCCTCCTAAAATGGCACCCGCAGTGAGCCACACACAAGAAACCCCGGAGGAATCCATAGAGGAGGAAAAGAAGCTACTTACCTCTCCAAGACACGGTGACATACACCGGATTGCTGATTCTGACAAGGATTTGTCAACTAAAGGGGACATAAAATAGATGTTCCTGCAAATGCGCCAAATCTGGAAGTCGGATCTCCGGGAGATACGGCAAGATATGGGGGCTGTGCAGAAAAAGGAGTCCCTTTTCTCCAGTGGCCAAGAAGTTGAGAGACCACTCAGAGTGGTATTGATGGGCAGCTGTAGGAGCCCTGATGGTGTCCCATGGCGACTGAATTATCACACTTACTTCTGATGAAGACCCGGAGAAACTACGCTGCTGTCTGTAACGCACTGGAAAGAGCAGGCATAAGTAGCCACAATGGAGAGGGGGTGCAGGGAGCCACCAGGGAAGGCAAATCGCCGACCTACCTCAAGATAAACAGACTGGGAGTCCTGTTAGAGCGACATTGCCACGACAACCAGCACTTCCGGTTTCGGCCTACCCAGTTGTTCCAGCAGCCACAGACTCGACTTCAGCCTCTCCAACCCGGCCTGCAGCTCCCCAAACCGGCTTGCAGCTTCACTGGGGCCCCAACCGCCCGCAAGGCCTTTGACCCGGTTGCCGATCCTGACACCGGCTCCCGGCCTCTAGACGCGGCACACGGCTCTCTCTGTTTCGCATAATTCATGCCGTTCGTCAAATTCTGTTTGTTTATATTCTGTTAGTTTAATTCATTTTGTTAAATTGGTCATTCGTTTAATCCTTTCATTTAATTCTTTTCATTTATATCAATGTGTAAATCCATTTAGTTTAAATCCATTTAGTTTAAAGCCATTCGCTTAAAGCCATTCGCTTAAAGCCATTCGTTTAAAATCCATTTATTTTAAATCTATTCATTAATATATATTTTGTATTAAATAACTGTTAAAGCTGTTCCCCTGTCTCTTACGCTCAGTGCATTCTGTCAAATTAAGCTGTACGTTTGCACACTCTATCATTTATACGTTGGCTGTATCATATGCCCATTAAATCCTAGAATACTTGAAGGCTACCACTGTGTTTCTGCTATTCGATTGGTAATTTTGCATAAAGTCACGATTCATGTTGGGTAATTCACAATTTAGTACAGTTTAACAGTTCGGCCTAGCATTTCCTAGATATTACTTAAATCTCACAAAATGTCAGTTTTGTTACTGCACATATCTGTAGGTTAGTTCCCTAGCTCTAATGAGCCCTGCACATTACTTTCCTCTGCTACACGGTTTATTTAACTTGTGCACCAGCCTGCCAGGGTTATTAACATAATAAACTACATCTGCACGGTTAGAATGTTGCTCACAAATTGTCTGGACTCTGTCTCACGGGATACTATTTCAAATAAATCTGTCACAATTGCTATTTAGTACTTCTGTTAAATAGCTTAAACACAATTATATACTAGTCTTTATATATGGATTTTCCTCTGCTCGGTACTTATGTTGTCCTTATATCACACGTGTATCTTAGGTGCCTATATCTATGATTAGCAAGTTCCTGGTAAAACCTGGGACAGCGTTGTTCTTCCGGCAATCTTGTTTCAGGTATTTCTATTTCCTTACGCTCATATTCAATCATAACCGGTACATCAAGGCCTCGTACTGCCTTTTACGTTTACACATTAAGCTCAGTTAAGGGGCTTGTCTTATTACATCCCACGTTCGGGAACCTCCATATGATATCTTTCAAATCTTCTGTTGTGCTATCTGTTTCCAGCTTTGGCAAGTAATACGTTTGACAAACTCAAGACACATAGAGTTACTACAACACCTATCAGGTAACAAAAACCTTTTTAAAAATTTTTCGCTCCGTTATTACATTTATACATTACTACTTATTACACATATCCCCAATTTTTTCTTTCAGGTGCACATAAGAGACTCCTATCCCGTAAGAATTCTCTCTCTTAGGCTCAATTAAGGGTACATTTATATATACATATATACACTAGGATATAACCATTACTCCACTTATCATTAGTTAATAATTGATCCTTTTTCAAATAGGCATCTTCAACTCTGCATCATCCCTCCAGCTTTCTACTCAGGTTCTATCTCATCCTGTTATTAGGTACGTACGGTTATATTTATGCTGCCTTTCCATAAGACAAGCCCCAGCCAGGGATAGAGAACTGGCTGCAAGGGACAGGAGCTGCCCCTAATACTTTTAAGTTCTAGTTCCCGTGAGGCCTCCTAGCTGCGGATCATTCTGGCTATGGCTTCTGGTATCCAGTACTCTTTTCACAATTCTTGTTTAGTTTTTCTTGTTTTTTTGGTTTTCTATTCTATGTCTGTTTTTTTTTATGCTGGGTTTCTGGGTTCATTCTTATGTTCCGTCCCTGGATTTCCCAGTCTCTTAGATTCATTTAAATGTTTGTTTTATGTTGCCACAACTGTTTGTTTTTCATCATTCCTTTTGTTTCAGTGTTCCTGCAGGCAGCTGCTCAAGGCTTCTGCCCTTTCTTGCAGGTACATTGGCGTTGTTGGCAGGCTTATGCAATGTATGATCATATAATGTGACTAAATCCCCATGATTTTCATATATAGTGCTTAGTTATTTCTCCTCTTGTTTTGCCTATCTTGTCTTGTTTTAGTTTGTATACCCAGTCCATGTACAGTCCTGTCCAGTCATGCCCATGTTATGTTAATGTTTCCCTAATGTATTGTGTACATGTTCTGGTTTTAGCTTCCTATCCTTCTCTGGTTCTGGGTTCTATTAGTTCTGTCTTGTTTTCATGTTTGGTGCCTTTCCTAGTCTTTTCTTGATTCTGTACTGGATACATACCTGCTACAGAGCCTCCCTATTTCAGCTCCTGGGAGGTCTGCTTATTTCCTCGTTCCTGGGATCCGCATAAGCTGCATCAGGGTTATGGTTTGTGGCTGCACAAACGCTGGTGCTCAACACCAGGGGGCGTGCGGTTACCCTGCACCAGACCCTGTTAATCCTCCTCCACACTGTGACTCCTACTCTGAACATCAGGCATACTGGGTCCCGGGCACCGCACTTACCACTTCAAAATTCATTGTCTGGGTCCCGGGCACTTACCACTTCAAAATTCATATTCCACGTTAGAACACTACTGCTAAGATTGAGACATAACCCCCCCGCATTTTCCAGTCATTCCTTCAGAATTGGGGCAGCCACCTCAGCCTCCAGTACAGACACACCAGTCCATATCGTGGAAAGACTGGGCAGATGGAAATCCTCTGTTTACAGCACTTATATTCCACATCCTGAGAAAGAACTCAGGAAAGCCTTTAAATGTCTACCATTGTAAAAATTAAGAAATAAAGTGTGTTTTCTTCAATATCTTTTGCCCTCTTGATTACAGGCCTACCAGTATGTTGGTTTCGGCACACCACTACCAACTTTCCCCCTCTTCTCTATTTTCCTATACAAATTAAGTTCCGACCACAAGTAAAAGGCCATAGGCCTGAATTTGTGGGAGGAGTTTTCCCTATAAAAGCTCTACCCCCTGCTGGTTCCTGTTAAAGCGACCCTTCCCACCACTCCCTCTAATAACTTACTACCAACATTACATTACCTCTGGTGGGCCCTCTTTATTACAGGCCTACCCGTACGTTGGTTTAGGCACACCACTACCAACTTTCCCCCTCTTCTCTATTTTCATGTACGAATTAAGTTCCGACCACAAATATATATATATATACATATATATAAAAACAGATAAAATTCTGTTAGTCCAATAAAAAAGGTATTACAAGATACTAATTTTATCTGTTTTTTACATCTACATCACTGGACTAATACGGCTACAATCTCTACTTGAAATATATATATATATATATATATATATATATATATATATATATATATTGTGATCCTTGTTTGCAGGTAGCACGGTCCTCTAGGGCAAAAACATGCACAGTCCTTGTAGTTGCAAATACTCAGGCACTTTATTTTGTAAATCCACACAGGATACAGCAGTTAAATGAAAACAAAAGTAACAGAAAACCCTATAAACAAAAACCTGGCTCGTCTGAGCACTAACTGACATTAGGTCCCCTATCTCTCAGGATTAAACTAAACAAAACAATAGTGGTTTCACTAACCTAGAGTCTTTGTCCACTCTCAGCACTCCAGTATTTAGCCAGCCTGCTGCTTCCAGCCTTTCAGAGAGAAAAAAACCATTCTCCCTTACCTGCCTAGCAGGGAGGGATTTTATTCCCACTTGCTGCAGCCGATTACCTACAGCTGAGCAGTAGGTTGGAGACAGTCCAAAACCCTGGGCTGGATCTAAGTCTTCCAAGAAAACCGCTAAGCTGCGGAGTGGAGCACTGGCCCACCCTGCTCTCCAAATGCTCCACCCCAGGGGCCCATAACTAAACAATGCTTTGTGTAACACACACAAACTACATACTCCCCCTGGGGTTAAAAATCATATGCCTCTCTGAACAATTCTGTCGAGATATAGACTCCCTCACAGACCACCCCATTCACCTTATCACAATATATATATATATATGTGTGTGTATGTGTATATGTGTAAATATATCGGGTTTTTTTGGGTAACATAGCCAAACTGGAAGCTCAGCTGTCTATCCATTTCAGTTATTTTAGCTTTAAATTGCAAATTACAATTTGAACATTCTGAACATTCTGCCTGGGTTGTCAGGCACGTCCCTCAATATAATAGAATTAATAAAATCACATAATTATGTAATAATAATACATATATATTTTATTTTTAAAAAAATATTATTTCATTGTTAGTGTATTTTGATATATATATAGACACATATTTGTATGTATGTATATATATATATGTGTGTTAGGTGCTTAAGATAGTACAGTGTGAAATACCATGAATAAGCGTAGGATGATAAAAGGAGCAAGTCGGTTGTGGTGTGCCGAAACCGACGATGAGGTAGGCCTGAGAAAGAAGAGGGCCCACCCAGGAAAAGAAATAGAAAGGAAATAAATGTTAAAAGTGGTGTGGTGGGAGGGTCATTCAACGCTGACCTCGAACGGTAAGGAGCCAGGCAAGGGGAGTGCCTTAAGTAGGCTAGGGGTAGCAAACCAGCACCTCCCACAAATGCAGGCAAATTGCCTTAATACTTGTGTTAGGTGCTTAAGATAGTACAGTGTGAAATACCATGAATAAGCGTAGGATGATAAAAGGAGCAAGTCGGTTGTGGTGTGCCGAAACCGACGATGAGGTAGGCCTGAGAAAGAAGAGGGCAAAAATTAAGTAATCAAATTTATTAACGGACAACCAATACATATACATTTATCAACCAGACATGTTTATGAAAGCATCCCTTAATTCTTGTACTGGGTTCGGTATGTACCGTGAGTAAGCGGATGACTTCCAGCGCCCCAGTGTTTTGATAACATGAGTTGGGATGTTGACACTGGAGGCTGTGGACGCGGCTCCTATACGAAAGGAGTGTCCTGAGTAATTGTTTGCGTTGAGGCCCAGTTGTGTGAGCAAGGACCTGACGTAGGTCATGAAGGTTGTAGTGGTGAGTACTGCACCTTGTAGTTGTAATAACGGTTGCGAGGGCAGTAAGTTATGGTGCTGTATGTAGGCATCAAGAACCTTGATGGGACACCATCTGTTGTGTGTGGGATAGTACGGAATGTTTACAGGTATGTGCTGGCTGGTTTTGGAGTGAGGTAAAGA